GTAGAATTCCGACAAGACGCAACATAGATTCGTTGGTTGGAGCATCCTGTATCACCTTTACTGTGTTCACTGAAATCAAACTAGTCATATTTCAAACAAAATTTTATTTTAACAACCAACAACTTTAAACACGTAATCTATTTTCTCGAAGAAACAGACGCTTTTTTAAATATACCGAATTTTCGTTGAAAATTATAGCTCCCACGTTAAGCGTGTCTAGACTCTGTTTTTATATCTGTGGGTGAAGTCTGATATCTCAACTATCCTCAACCAGATCCGATTGAATTACAGACATACGCCTTGAAGATGGTAGTCGTAACGCTCACCGAAATTCTGGCTATACTAAAATAATATACATAAAATATCGTTACAGAAAGTGGTCACGAAAACTTTTTAAGGAGAAAATGTGTACAATTTTTATTTTACATTTTTATCTTAAGTTTTATAAAAAGATAAAGTGACAAAACTAGAATGTTTTGAATATCATGTTCATAAGAACAAACAACCTATCCTGCATTTCTTAACAAATCCCTTATTAATCACATTTTTTACGTAGCGTGTGTTCCAAATGGCATCAGAATTATAACATTTAAGTTCTCAGCTGTAACGGACTGTCTTGATCTGTGTCCAACGCAGGAGTGGAACGATTACAACCTCATGTGGAACGAATCGGAATTTGGGGGAATCAAGGATCTGAGGATAACGCCCAACAAAATTTGGAGACCCGACATCCTAATGTACAACAGGTAAAGTAACACCACACAACAGTGAGGTCCGTCGTCCGTATAAATGCGTGATGCCTCCTTCCTATGTGATGTGTACAACGTGATGTAATCTCATGTATTGTTCAGTGCTATTACACTCAAAACGAAAACAAACATGTCCTATATTGATATCTAGCCTACGTGAAGAAGAGAATATATAGATGCTACTTAAAATGCTCGTGTTCCTGTGAAGAAACTGTGTGAATTAGTATGTAATATATTAAAATTCATTCTTCTGAACTTTACATCTCTGATTTTGTGTTAAATTATCGCAAGCAGATACGTTTGCTGGAAAACTGTAATCAACAGTACAGATATCACAATACATATTAAAATAAATAAATTTTCGTGAAATCATTTTGTTTCACTTCAGAGTCTGGAGTGTTTTAAACAACGACTTTTCGAAGTTAGTTCTGTTCCCGTCTTCTGGTTATCGGATCAGTAGGAAGACAAAAACCTGTAGACCCCATTGTCGATAACCTGAAGACGGTAGCAGAGTCAACTTCTGAAATGTTGTGATTTAAAACACTCAGACGATGTATAAAATCTATAATGCTTCTGTGAGAATTTATGTTCGCATTTTTAAATACGCTCCATTTTGGAGAATGTTTGAATATAAAAGTTATGTCCTGCGTTCTATGCCTCATTGCAAATTCTCTGCAATGAGGCATTATAGAAGGATTTTGATAAAGCTGAAAATTCAGTAGTGTTTACTTATTGATCTAATACGGGTTCAAACAAAACTGGTCAGGTAATAGATTGTCGTGATGCAACTTCGCATATATTTCATTAGATTCGTTAATTACTCTTTTAAGAAAAAACAAAAGGACGTAAACATATCATTTTGTGTTCATTTCAAGTGCTTTATATACAGATTACACATGACATGTTACACTGTTGCGACCAGTAACAGTACACTTGTGTATTAACTGACGTGTTTTTCATTTTGAGTGTGGTATTCTTTACTTTGCTACATGTTGAATGTACTAACTTCAATTATGTTTCAGTGTGTATAAACTACATGATGAAGCAATTTTTAATTGTTGATATACGTATATCGTAATCAAAATCTTTAATTTTTTTAAAGAAGAATTATTTATTATTGTACTAGTAGCCTTTGAACAGTTACATAACTTAAAATGCAACTTTTCCGAGAGACGTCTTTGTAAAATCAAGACGCACTGCATACGGCTTTATAGGTAAGAACAAATTATCTGGTACTTATAATAATCCATCTAATATAATAATAGAAGCATTTTCTCCGAAACGTTGCATCTCTGTAGCATACGTACTCTGTGAACCAATTGTTTGCAAAACAGACAAGAGAAGGATGAAAAATTATTCCACTTGAAAGGAAAACTTATTTACTAAAGCTTTAGTGGGCGTTTTTCACAATTCTCTATTACATTGTAATAGAAACATTGGTAACAAAATAATGCAGACCAAGCTATTAGCAGTTATAAACATTTTGTTACATAATTTTAAATTGAAAAGACTTTTCAACTTCAATAATGCTTCTCTGTTCACTGTGTTTTGCTGTTGATGTTATCCTGTAAAATGATCCAAGCTTGAAACGTTATATCTTAAGATGATTTACAGACTTTACAATCTCCTGCAGAAAGTCAATAAAATCCCAGATACTTAAATGACGAGTGATTGTTAAAGAGAACTGGCCGGCAACAACGAGCCACCTACGATCACGGTATGATGGTCCCTTGTTTTAAACCCAGTAGTTTTTTCCAACCTACTTAACACAACTGACGTATTAGTAATTACAGCCTAATACGTATCACGGAATTTTTTAATTACTTCGAGTTGAGCGTAAGTTGAATTTTATTTTTAGACATCCAAGTTTCTCTCATAGGTCACGTGAAATAATGTACATTTAAGGATAATACGTCATAATTTTGTCTTTACAGTGTTTTAAAAAATGACACTTTTCATTAAATTTGAGTTCGTGTCACAAACACATATTCACATTGTTGTGTTTTAATATTAATTGCTCGTAAAAATTTAGTGTCCTGTACAAGATCTCTCACTATTATTACGACAATTCGTATTTGCTGATACCTTTTCTGTACCTGTTCAGTAAAACCGTTTAAAATACCTTAAATTAATACACAATTATTGCACACGAAATCACAAATTGTATCCTGAATAAGAAATTTTGCATCTTGTCAATATTATATAAAAAGTTTTATTTCAATTACACATAAAGTTTAAATTGAATACCCTTCCTGCAAACTGAATTTATCAGATCTAAAGAACTATATTTTCAGACAGTGATCAAAATGTATTCCAGTGCACCAGAAGAAAATCACGGTAATTCATATGACCTATTCTGTTCTAAGATTTCTTAATTCGAAAAACATACCTTGGTTACATTTTGTATGTACATGATGAAAGCTAATCCAACTTTTTGGAAATTTGCACATTTTTGGCTTAAACAACATCTACAAGGAAATTTTTCGAACAGCTTCACATATTCAAGATATTCAGGAGAGAAAAAAAAACAGGTTTCATGATGACGTAACTAGGCGACTGACTTCTGGGATGTTGCACCGTGTATTCGGATAGAAATTTACCGACATTTCAGAAGGGCTTGGTACCCCACCTATCTGGGAGACAACTGAGGAGACAGAAAGGACCTCTGAAACGTTGGTAAACTTCTACCAGACAAAACGGGACAATGTCCCAGAAGAATCATCTTCATACTCGACGCTGTAAGAACCTGGTATGTCATGACACATCTAGTTAGCAGCATAAACAATTTGCCATGACGTTAAAAAGAGCTCAAATTTTAAAACTTATAACAATCATTTAATTTGTGCCTGCGTATGAAAGCAGTGTATTACAATCAGGAACACATACATTGTCCGATGTCTTATAAATTTCTACGAATAAACTAAAATTTCATATAGATATCCTGAAATAAGACATATTTTACGTGACCGTGCGATATAAAAATTGGAAATTTCTTCGTGTGTCGATATTTATTTTTTCAGTTGTTTGATCACAGTTCCATCTGCATGATTTGACAACCATTATGTGTTTGTAAAAACATCCGAACTTCAAATCATAATAGGCTTCCCATTAAGAGTTGAACCCATCAGTGTATCTTTTATATATATTTCTAAGGACGCATCCAGCTGTAAATATTTCTGCATGCATGTTGGAAATCGTATAAACGTTTATCAATTTGTCTCCTCGCCAAAACGGTTACATAAATTGTATTCTCCTCTGTCTCGATCAGAGGTGAAGTACACTGTTTCCGCATTGCATGAAATGTCTCATCGTAATAGCAACATAGGAGTTAAGGGATGAATCCGTCAGAACAGAACTGCCCGATCAATTTAAGTTTGGTGGGAAGTACAAACGACAGTTAGCCGTTGTTGTGGGCCACATCACAATTTAAGTCTTCCGTCCCAACGAGGAACAGCCCAGCCCCCACTCTGAACCCATCATCCGTGACTCTTGCTATAGCCCCTTTCTTAGGTGACACTACTTGTCTCTTAAGTCCCAGAGAAAACCAGTTCACTTGACAAACTTGAAATTCCCTGTTCAGTTTTCAAAGACTAGATTTAAACTAATTTTTAATTCTCAGCTTATTATAAGATACTTAATACTCCGCAGAGCTACCAAGGCCTGCTTAAATATCACCTACCACGTGCATGGAGTAACAGAAAAATTATTAAATAAGTGTCTAAATTATAGTCAGTTTCTGGGTCGAGATTTGAAAGCGTGAAGTTTAGAACATGAATCAGCAATCTCTATGAAAATACGCGACTTTTCTTAAGCATCTGGTTGCTAGGCAACCATAATCAGATTATGGTTTAAAAGCTGTGTTCAATGCCTTTATCTTGCTTGGCAAAATTTTAAATCATGAACAGACCAGTATTTGGCGCCAAGGCTTCAGGATGCACATAGCTTCCAGGGAAGATGGCGGTGTTGCGTTCCTCCGACACGTTGTTAAGAATCTACATAAAGTAGAAGACCTCAATCAATATTTTCACAACAGTTATAACCTAAAATCTCGTACGTCATCAGCTTTCGAGGACTTCGTTCAGACTTGTCATCCCTTGCTTTCAAGGCGAGGCAACTTTATAATAATATCGTATGTATATTTATGGACTTTGGACTGCAGAAAACAAATCTAATCGGTATTCCGAAGTCTGACACAACTAGATCGTATGAAGATTCATTTTCGCTAAAATAATACTTTTAGACTGTAATCGATTTTGTAATGATAGATGTTAAGAGAATGAGCCGGGATATCTCAGTCAGAATAGTGACTAGGTACGGGCTGAATGACCGGGGTTAGCCTCCTATTCAATGGGTACCGAGTTCCTTCCCCGGGGGTAAACTCGGCCGAGGCGTGACGCTGATCACTCATTACTAATCGCAAGCAAAACATTAGACTTATAATATTGACTTATCAGAGTCTCTATAGCTATGGAGGATCGAGAGTGTGGGTAAAACATTCCTCGTTGGGAAGGGAGAGTCCCTGAGAAAATCTGTCGTCAAACAAGAAATGAAATCAAACTTAAACTCATATTACCTTTTTAAAAAACCATATACATAAATTATATTATTTTAAAATGTTATTTTATATCAATAATTTAACGTCCCAAAAACACATTTAAGTTTCTGCCATATTGTCTACCAATGTTTTGATTAAACATGTTAAATTATATTAATAAAGTTTGATAGAACATTTTGGATGATATTGTATAAACACTGTTATAAAATGAATTCATAATTTAACTTTATATTATATATTACTTCCTGAATTATATTATATTTATAAAATTTTCAATAAAACTCGGCCTACCTAGCGTAGAGTCATAAATAAACGAAATGAATAATTTTGTTTTTAAATCTGTTATTGAAATAATCATTTAAATTTCTCCTCTCCTCCCTTCCTTTCACATATTTTTTAGCCTAAAATTGTGTGTATTATACTGAACACTGAGTAGTGTAACCTGATAAAACTACGCTGTTTCAAAACTGCATGTGTGTAGTGTAGACACACAACATTTTAAATGTGTATTTAGGCCCATGAGCCCATCGCGTCTAACAAATAAATTCCCTGGCAATTTCACTATAATACAATAATAAAAATAGTAGAAAAATCATCAAAAACACTATTTGTCACAGGTGTCATGAAGTCTAGTTATTTATTCCATCATCACTGTCTGTGAACGATGACAATGTTCAGTATTTCTCAATTGGTGTTATATTAATAATCAGTAACAAGTAATTAGATTAATTTTTAATACATTTATACTGCCACTCATAGCAGAACACACCCAGGCACTTCAAAATCTTCTCTTACGTTACCGCTGATATATCATTTATGCCATTTTCTTAAACCCCATGAAACTTATAAAAAGGCAAAAAAATAAATGTAGACTAGTCCTTGTAGTTTACACATTTATAGATTCATTTTCGTACTGAATTTTCCAGACAACTTTTATAAAATCCCTTTCTTACGTATCTTACCTATAATTTCCTTCTAATAATCGAGATTTTGGTCTGCCTTATAACGTTTTCCACTTCCATCCACAAAATTAATTTTATAAATATATGTTATCTTATTTCTTAAACACGCCCACATAATCATGACATTTTAGTTTCTATTGTGTTTTATTTTAATCAGTTTTTATTTTATTCCACTTCACACCTATTATACTAAGTCAGCTGTCCATAATAATTACTTTTTGTTGAATTCAAATGCGTTACTCCCCATCGTATGCTATCATTCTATACAACATTTTTAACATCCCACATTGCAATATAAGTGGAAAATACACAGAAAACAGAAAAACACGACATTAAAATATCCTATAAAATAACTGTTCAGCCAGTAAGAAACACAACACGTACCTAAAAAAAGAAGCGAGTACAGAAGTCTATTTCAGACATTAAATATGAAACAGAACGTTCCCATGACTACAAAGTAACACGACCCACAATTAAAATTGTTACAAGTGCTGATGAGGGTTTCGACGGGACCTACCACACCAACGTTGTGGTCAGACATAACGGTAGCTGCTTGTACGTTCCACCGGGCATCTTCAAGAGCACATGCAAGATAGACATTACGTGGTTCCCCTTTGATGATCAACATTGTGACATGAAGTTTGGTAGTTGGACCTATGATGGCAACCAGGTAGTACCAACACAACAAGCTGTTCAGTTGGATGTGTGACGTCGTTCGTGTTCCATATTTCTACTACTGACCCATGCTCCTATCTCTCTCTATCTCTCTCTGTGTCTTTCCACAGACAAAAATTTGCACTAGAAATTCGTACTTCAGGTTGTATATTAAACCAGGGACACGCCAAACATAGATTCATGCCTCATTTTCAAACCACTTTTTTAAATGTTAGACATATAATAAGATTCTGGATCTAATATAATACAATGAAATGTTAAATATATGCTTCCCTAGGGAACAGTAAGCCTCATAATTTAAAAGGTTAGAAAGCAAATACATCTAATGCGAAGTCATATCTTATTTACAGTCCTAAAGTAAAAGAATTATTATTAACATTGCTTTATTTATAAAAATTGTGTTAAGCTCGGGTTATGAGTTTAATTCTCCCCCACTTCAAACTGTGAAACTCTACTCCAAATAAACGTATGTACTATTAGTAATATCTATTACTATTCAAGTTGTAAAATAAGTAAAACACTACGAGCGGAAGGATACGAAACGTAATTTAGTTGTTCGCCTGTAAACGTAGGTAAGCATAAATCTAAGACTAAAAGGTAAATTACTTTTACTCCATGACCAACCAAACGCCGGGTAGAGATGAAACCGAAGATCACAGAGGAAAACCTGGTCAAATAAAACTTCGTCCACTAAAATTCTCAGCTGAAGTCACCCGGGTCTATGTAGTGAGAAGCCAGTGTCTAACCACCTGAGCTACCTCACGGGTAGGCACAGGAAAGACGTCATTAACAGTCTTTCGGCCGTACCCGTACGGGTAAAATACAACCACCGCTGTAATTTTCTTTGCTGGTTATATTTTCTGCACAGAATTCGGTCATATTAAATTACTTCTACCAAAAATATTATAATCCGACAAAAAATATTTTATCACAAGATTAATACTTTAAAAAATATTTTTATAAGAAAATCAAACGAAGTAACGTAAACAAATTAATATAATCACTTATATTTGCTTAATTACGAAACCTACGAAGCGTTAAAACCTAAACACGCATTGATTCGCTGTAAGAAGTACATGTATATACCAGGCCATACATGAGTGAACAGTCTTTTTTTTCAGTTCCTTGTTTCCAAGAAGCAGCTTACAAGAATGATGATTTTATAACAAAAATTAAAATTGTTACTTATTTGGAAATTAAATAATATAACATGATTTAGTCTAATTCTATCTGAAACATAATTTCATATTAAAGTTATAACAATATTGCTGCGTTGTATATAAGTAAATGTATACAATAGGCCAAGGATAAATAATCACCAACCAACATTTACCTATTATGTAGACGTCTAACATTTAAAAATGTCCTCACAGTCATGTCAAAAATACATCAGTTTCCTTGGAATAATGACCTGATAACCTTACATCATTATAACTGACAATTCTGTTTCAGCGCCGAGGAAGTGCTTGCCATATTCGATTTAATTTAAAGTATGTTACCACTCTTGACGTTTGCAAAGTGTTCTAATACACGGTACCTACACTGCAATTATAAACTACGCTGCCCACTGTTTGATGTTTTTTTCTTTTCGATATTGTTAGGATCAGTCGATCAATTAACCGAAGACAAGACTCGATACAACTTCCGAAACGTCGCATATTTAATGTATTTCAAACAATATATATGTTCTAAATAAACCTGCAGTAATAAATTTAATTATTTTTATAAATCAAGACAGGGACCAAAGTAATTCTTTGACTACGAACGTACTGTTGTGTTTTGTCTTGGATTTGGAAGAAATCGTATCTAGTGAAGGCCAAATCCAATGTTAAAGTTTGAGTTAGGAGCAGAAATTCATATGAAACATGTTTCAGTCCTTATATATATATTGTAAGGGTAAAACGTGCAGTCAGTATCATAAATCGGTTGTGTTAAAGAGCTCCTTGCAGATAGAAAATCATATTTATCATGATAGAAGATATATCTCAGTTGAACCTACCCTGTAAGTTCTGAAAAATATGTAGGGACAATAACAACTGTCTAGTCTTCTTGTAACAGTTTAATGCCTCCACAGATTTATTAAAAGAAACGAAAGATGTTTGTTGCTATAGATCTTGATCATCAGAACGGTTAAATATTACCATAATCATCTTTAGCGAAGAACCGTTGAAACTATCTCATGTTTAAATGTCTTAAAGAATAATTTATATCACAATTCTGAATAACTTCGTCACACAAGTCGTCATTTTAACATTTACTTCTGTGGGTTTAAATCTAATATGGCACTTCACATTCTGGTTCTGTATCATTACTTAGGCTTCTTACCAGTGTCTGGCAAACCTTCGACTCTACAAACAGCGGGTAAAACTTCAACTCTTACACAGAGTACCATGTAGTGAACACTTTTGTGAATGCTTTTCTCTTTCCAAATATCTTTTCTTTATAGATTTTTCTAATTGTAGTATTACTAATACACAGGATATTCGAATACGATATTCACATAGATCGTATTTTATAAATGGTTTTATTATTTTGGCTATGCTTCAAGCTCGACTTAAAACTTCTGACAAGTTGACCGGGGATGAATTTCGTACTTAACGCCTTCTTTTTAAATGAGAAACGGAACTATGAATATACTATATGCTTGTATAATATGGAATCTGCCTAAGCAACTTTATAAAAGGGCTGGCTGGTTTGTACAAAGCAGTGGCACTGTGCGGCTATTTTATGCCAGAATTTATTTAGTGTCATTATTATTTTAATTTCATTATAACACAATGCATCTGTTCTGTGTCCGCTTATTTGCCATATAACTGTCTTCACCGATTCACAGTTAGGATACGTATATTTTTTCGTAAACATATAAAGGACAAACATATCGATTGCTCGTCAGCTTTTATTTTATTTTATATTGCGATTATGCTTCTGGTGCATTTAATTCATCATGAGGGGACACCGTGATTTTGAACACTATTTTGCATGGAGCTAGACTACACAGTGACGTTTCTTCATCTAACTTTGTCGGAACAACATAAATCCCTGGTACTACACTGTTTCCTTTACCAATGACTCTTCGTATTCATCCCGTTAAGAACTATACTTAACCCTAAAAAAATAAATTTTATTAAAAGCAAGGAAGACATATGCACCTAGACTGTGCCCAACTCTTTTTTTTAACTGAGGAAAAATTTGTTGCGTGGCCGATGCAAGAAGCAGGTTAATCTTCTAAAAGTATTTAAAAAAATTCATACCTCAGGCAACATATATATTCAGTTTATATTACCGGTATGGAAAGAATCAGAGAAGTATTTCTTGATGACCCGAAAACTGAAACTAGTGTAAAGAAATTAGTGATCGAATCTGTCAATACAATTATATGTCACCTGAAAAATAAGATAAATTTCTTACATGTAACTAGCATAAAATTTATCACAGACAACTTATTACAGTTTAAAGAATCAAATACATTCACAAATCCTAATTTGAAATATGTGAGTCCATTAAAATTTGTAATTAAATTCAACATAATTATACAAAAAGCCTTCATCTATCTTTCTGCTCACCCGACAAAGCTAGGAGTTGAGACGTCACGACAACATTAGTCAAGTTCTGGGCAGGTCTGATTTGTAGAAATACTACTTCTTAAATGCATTTTGTCACTATAAAATTGCTTTTATAAGGTAATAGTTTTGATCCTATTGTACACAATGCTCTGTAATATATATGTGCATTCAGCTAATGTTTTGTGCATGGATGTTAATTATTTCAACAAAGTTGAAGAACGTTAAATGTATAAACATATTTTCTTTCTCTTTACAATATATTTGTTTTTTAAATAATATATTCGTAATGCACGTTTAGTACCTTTTGTACACTGTATAAGCCTAAATATATTATGTGAATATCTTCCTTGGTTTCAACAAGTAACGTAAAAGTTTCTTCCATAAACGAATGCAAAGTCACACATTTGCGTTGATCACAGGAAATAGAAATAAATAAAATAGGAGGTCAGGTTGGGACCAGTGTCAACGCTTACTCAGACGTTCCTCAAAGTCGCTCAATTTGCTCTGAAGTTAAAAATTCTGGGCACAATCTTTCAAAGCACGGTAATCTCGCAAACGTATTTCATTTTCCCCAAGAAAAAACTTTAAGTTAACAGAAACAAAATTATTTCCTTCCGTAACAAAAACCACTTAATCGGGCTGAGAGTTTAGTCCTTTCCAACATAATAATGTAGTTATGAGCGTAAAATTGAATTGTAACTACGTCGAATTTAATTCCCTTAAATGTATCTTAACCAAACATCTGTTTCCAGCCTTTGTTATATGAATAATTCATATTATCGAATGGATATTCTTGTATGTATAAAAACAGTAACTATGTTTTTGTACACATAGACTCCCCTCCGACTTTAAGTATTAAGCCGTCTCATGGCTCTTCAAATATCACTATTAGCTTCATTGTTCTGTTCACAATGCAGCAACTTTAATAATAGAATGCTTATTACGCTGAAATATTCAGATAATATGTATATAAATGCTTGAAATTATTCATGAAATTTCCTATATTTTATAGGCTACCAGAACTGCGAACATCAACAAAGTTACATCGATCACAGATATGGGTACAAACGGACACACAGACATAGCAGAGCTAACAGTTGCATGTTTGCAACTTTCAAATTTCGAAGACTCTTACAAATATAGGAAATACTTAATTTGCAAAGAAAATATTCACATGACAATACTAAATCACTGTCATGAATCTTTTGAACAGTATTAAAATCTTAAACAAAACGAAAGCTCTAGTTTATACTGACACAAGCTAGTACTTATCTACGTGATAGCGCAGATGTTAATGCCGGCTATTAAACAGAATGGAATGTTTGTTAATTCCATTTCTCACCACGTAATTATGCGCCTTTGTTGGAATATAAAAACGAATGCAAATCAGACGTTACATATTTACCTAATTCTAAGGCAATAGGAAATTTAGTGCTTTTATGAGTCAGAGATATTAGCTAAACACTTATTGTCATATATGTAAACCTAAATATTTTAAATTTAGAGGCAAGCTACCATCACAAAAGTTTAAAAATGAACCCCGGTATTCTGTACTCTGGTTATGAATTATGTAACGATTTAGAATAGCTGGTAATCTTTCTCTCCCCTAAAATCGTAAAATATCATCAATTCAAAACAAAAACCCTCTTTATCAAATGTTATTATCTGTAATTAGAACATTCGCACCACCTTGACTCTTTAATCAGTACTAACTTCTCTTCTTGTCTAACAGCTTATCTGAGAGTATGTTACATATATATTAGTTACAAAGCTTATGTTTATAATAAAATTAATTTTTAGGATACAGTTTACAATTGCTGTATGAAATAAGACCGTCAAACAACAATCTGACTTTACTTCGATAAAGTCAAACTTTTTATAAGAATGTAAAACCTATCGGTAACAACAATTTACAAACTCTAGAATGTTATGATCGAGGCGATGCCAAACCACACAGAAAAATCTATAAATCTTCTACGGTCTTCTGAAAAAAAAATTATAATTTACAAGAGTATTACTCTTGGAGTGTAAAACTTACTTCGTTGAAACCAAGGCTTGGTACGTTTTGACGCATATTTGGCATGCACCAATACTTGTAGAGAATATACGCAGACCTAGTTATAAAACGTAACTGAACTAGAAATACCTATTAAATTGTCTTGCTGTGTGTTGTCTTGATCGAATGGTCTGCATGTAACTAACCATTTATTCACGTAGTTAATCACCAGTTATTGTTTCTAGTTGGACCTAGTTCTCAACTCGGAAAAGGGAGGTGATCTCTCTGACTTCATCACCAACGGAGAGTGGTATCTAATAGGTAAGTCAATGATGAACGAGAAACTATACATATTCCACTTGCTTTAACAGTCAATACCTCTGTATTTATGTGCTTTATATGATTCTTAGTGTAAACAATAATTATTTCCTTAAACAGCATTAATTAATTGTTCTTTTTAATGGTAAAATGTTGTTTCTTTTCGGTACGGACTGAATTTTCAAATATTATTTAGACAGGCTTCCAGAACAATTGACTGATCTTATATTTGTATTAATTCGTGATTTCTGATTTTGCGCTATGAATAAAACGGTTAGGAAAATCAATGAGAAAATTTAATTAATCGCATAACTGCCCACAAACTGGAAAGCACAGATCATTTTCGCAACCAACAGAGCCAGTAAAGTTACTGACTCTGATATCTGAGTTTGTGAAAACATTCTGCAACAAGATGATCAAATCAAATAATATATGAAAAGTAGAACATATATCACACGTGAGAGATACGACAAATGAGCACAAAAGTCTGGTTAGGAAACGTCGAAGATCCTTATGTACATGAGACAGAAATATTGGAATTATTGTTGGAGATATAGCATGTGGGCTGGATTAATTTGGTTTAAGATGGAGAGGAGACGCTGGCTTTTCTTAACAAGGTAGCAAAGTTTTGGGTTACGTAGAAGAGGGAGTATTAACTAGTTGAGTAACAACCACTTTTTATTAAAAGGCCCCTGCTGTATGGAGTTGCACATTTCACAATAACTGAGAAATTTAGAACTCCGCAGAGCACCTTCTGTTACGAACGAAATATCTCAACTAGAAACTGACTTATACTCTGAAAATAAAACTACTTTCAGTCATTTGAAACAGGTTTCTTACAAGTCAAACATTATTACGCTCTTCAAATGGCTTCACCACTGAAAAATACATGCACACTGCCATGTGAACATACACAATACGGCATCATTTACAAACTAAAACGCAGCCTGCAAAGGATTAAAACTACACTGCTTTGAAGTGAAAACCGTAGGTTCCAGAAAAAAAGTACTTCAGGTTGCCTAATTGGAATCGGCGTCATAAAATTTCTATAAATGTACGACACACAAGTTCACAGAATTTAAGGTTAGGGTTTCATAAATATTGTCTTTATTAAAGAAAATGGGCTTTAAAATTTTGTAGATTCGTATTAATATGTTCTTCAAGGACATAAAGGAATACCAACATTTGGTAAAAAATATCACAAAATCAGAAATTACTCAGCTTATGTGTTCCCGTTAAACGCATGCTTAAGTAAAGCCATCTACTGTGTATTAATTCTTAAACACAGGATTTTGTTACACGTTAACATACAAAATTGTAATTGCATTTTACACCTGGTTTAGCCTAGTATAAAACACTTGAAGTTTTAGAGCTAATTCTATTAATCCAATCATTGTTTTGTGTTTAATATTTTATTAAACTATTTGTATTTAACCTGACATTTTATGAACGTCGTTAAATTTGTTTAAAATATGTACCAATGCTGTCCGGAGCCTTACGTGGATGTGACGTTTACAATCCAGATTCGAAGGCGGACACTCTACTATTTCTTCAACCTGATTGTACCCTGCGTACTCATCTCGTCCATGGCTCTGCTTGGCTTTACCTTGCCCCCCGACTCTGGGGAGAAGCTCACCTTAGGTGAAGTATTACCCCTCTTCAACGAGACTTTTTCTTTTTGGCACTGCTACATCAGGTATTTATTCCTTCATTCGGCCCTCAGAGTGACAGTGGAATAAGATTGGTGTACAATAAACACAATATTTTTTATTATTAATTAAAGATATATACTGTTATTTTATTTTATCCATTATCTTCGTTTGTTCTGGTGTTCTGTCGCTTAGATTCTAACATTCCCTTCCGTGTATAATTGCACTCTGTTCTCAGAGTAAAACAAACGAAGAAGCTATAAAAGAGACTGGTATTTTGACTAGTTTCTTTATGCGTACGATAAACTATTAATTTAAGTATTTTTAGATTTTTTTCTGTATCAAATGTGTTTATCATTTCATTTCCTGTATGATCCTTCATAACATCAATCGAAATTCACAAAATTCAGAATTCATATCCATCATCAAAAACATTCAGATGCAAATATTTGTACACTGTAAAATAAAATATATAATTTATGCCCAAGTTGAAAAATATCACTGATTAATATCAACAAATTACAAATTCAGTTTTAATCAAACAACAATTTAATGTTGCATTTAATTTAAACAATTTCGAGGGATTACACCTATGATTTAATTGCAGTGTGTTTTGTTTATTGTACACCAGTCTTAAAATGACCCTTCAGACATATGAATTAGGTACGTAATGTTCACACACCGGACTTTCATTGGAATTCGCAAAGGGGCAAATCTGTACCTTTGGCACAGACATAAATTCCTTTCCTAACCCTAAATCTGAAATATGTTAATTTTAGACTACTGTGCGATGAATTTAAAATCCTTCAGGAAATATCTTCACATTCTATGAAATTCAACATGATTTACGTTCCACCAACGTACTGGATCACATACACCTAAGCCCTTATTCCAATATTAATCCATATGTGATTATAAAAACGGTTCATTATTTCCTAAACTCACTAAAATAATTTTCAACGTCAGACGAACAAATACCACTTTATGTAATTTCCATTACGAAATTGATAAAAATATCAATCTAAAAGTTAATTTACGGGTGTTGAATTAGGACAATTAAACGTTCGATATTTTTAGAATAACAAAAGTGTGATAGACAGTAACTTCTGAATGTGCAAGATCTAAGGCAGCGAATCAAATTCGTTGTGAAAGTTTGAAGCAGAACACGTTAACTTCCAGGCACCTGTCCATCACATCTCTCTAAACTTCCTAGTTGAAAATGAACAACATAATGTTGCATCCATATCAACAATTTCCTGCTATTACTTTTTTCCCCATTTTACAGACTTTTCCCGTCTAGCGTCTTTACAGATAACATTTTATATCAGCCGTATTACATTATTTTCCAGAAAGTTCTACGCTATTTCGTTCACATTTAAATATTTTATCTGCGAACAAGTATAAACTAACACACGAAGCTCAAAACTGGCTTTCATAATTAGTTAGAAATATAAATCTTATTTATTTTCTATTGCTTCTCCCACTCACATTTAAAATACAAACGAATCAAAAATAAGTCTCCACTGAATGTCTTTTGCGATGGCGTTACGTAACTTCTTTCTGTCTTCTAATATATGTCGTCTGTCTTAAAAGTCTTTAAATGTTAAAACCTTACAAGTTCGCAGATTAGTGGTAAGTCCTCCTACCGGATCGACTAGAATAGGTGCCTCCCACGCACAAACTTTCCTGAACACGTAGGAAGATCCAATCTTCAAAACGTGGTGATTACCAACGTTTCAATATGTTTAAAACTTTTCATACAGACGATAGACAAAGTAAAATAAAGTAAAGGAGTCGACCATACTCGTGTACTAATTTATTTTGTGTTAGGTTAGGCCTATGTATTCACATTCTTATGGACTATTAAAATTAAACATCCAAAACCTTATTTTGACTCCAGGTAATTATATTTGTTTCTTTACAAGGAATCACTCCCTTTTAGTCCATCCCGTACCCAGTAACGTCACTGAGCTAAATATTTTGGCCTGTATATGTTTCCAAAATCACGTTAATTTCCATTACGGTGTTTAATTGTAATTATTAAATTAGACAATAATTACACAATTAAATATGTAAAGCACCCTTTATACTAATTTAGTTACAGTTCATTTGGAGCGACACAAAAAACATTATCCCGTTTAAATAAACAATGCTGGACGCGTGTATTACTTGAATGCAATATGTCATAATTACGCATTCGTGCAGTCTTCTCTCGTTCATTTCTATCAATACAGTTTCAACGCTTACATTGCCATGTGTTAGAGTGTTAACACGCTAGAATCAACGACACCTCATAATTAGATGCCGGACGGCACTACACTAAGGCGAAACAGTATGATACACTTATATGGCATAAACAAATATATTATATGAAATTATAATATTGATGATTTTAGACAGGTACTTATCGAGGTGTGAAAAGGTGTCCTCAAAAAACGAAGTGAACTTTGCATGTCGTCACTTTTCATCACGATTATCAACTTTGATTATTTAATATTACAGTGAGTGAATGTTTATCCAAGTAAACCAAAACGTCAGTTTATAAAACTTTTCTCACCTAGCAGCTATAAACCTTCAGTAAACCCGAATTATCCCTTAAAATATGACACGGTAAGGTCACTGAACCCCTTCATTTTATCCATAATAAGCGAAACTTGAAAAAACAACCCAAGACTTCCATATCAAAAGTACAAAACGTCCAAGCGTCAGACCTGATGACGTAACTGCACATGTCACTACGTCAGCATCGTATGCTGTGTGGCTAATCGTTCCAGAATTAGAGGCTGTAGCGTGCGACCAGCGAATCGGAAGCTCGGACTGTGTACAGATGTCGTCCTTTGAGATAATTTCATTGATACTTCACTATCAGTAGCGGCACGTGCGATGAGAAGTTGTTTCAACACATCAATAACAGGCGTCCCAGTTTCGTAAAATATACATATCATGGCTTTCGCGTTAATTTAAAGACATGTGGCCACTTATGCACACGTATGTATATATCAAATATTCAACAGAACCAAAAGTTAGACTTTTAGCTTGTGGAATAAGTCAAAGTACATATGTTTTTATGGCTTGCGAAGATTAAAATGGAAGTATTTTAGTCGAAAAATGTAAATGGAAGAGGTCACTAGCAAATCCAAACATAGATATGACGATAATATTAAAACGGAGCATAAAGACACAAGGTGTGAGGGTCTAGACTCTAAATTCAAGAGGCTCAGAACAGGGTTCTGTGAAGGGCTGTCTGAAATACGGTATGATCCCTCGGATTTGTTTTAAAAAAGTAATTTTGATGAGTATATGTATAATTACATATTTATTATAATGTTGACGAGCGACTAGAAGTCTTGGAGGGAACGATATTTTAAGATAAAATGGAAAGAAATGGCTAATATGTTAAGTACAGTGTGGTACAATCGATGGAATTTAAATATGGTGACAGGCCGTGTGAGGGTGAGGAGGGATTCTGGGTAATGCTGGTAGCGTACCCACGACTTAAGGCGTTTCGTTGCAACTAAAATTCCTTGCAAATACAAAAATATTATTAACATTCCAAATACGTTAAATTATGTAAAACATGTGGCACGTAAAATTCCGAAAGTCTAATTATATTAAAATAAGAATATAAGCAATTAACATGACGATAGTTTAACTCTTATCATTTATGTATAAACTTCAATAGATGCAACTGAACTGTTCCGACTCCCCGTTTCGAGGCCGATGCATGGTAACTTAAGACCAAATTTCTCCCCTAAACAACTCGTGTGCATACGCTCGCATATACCCAACCACACACTGACACAGTAGCTTAATTAAAATAACGCGTTGGGTATTATGCTTTTTTGGATACTATCTCTTATCAGTAAATACAAAATTAATATTTTAGTGCAATATATAAACACATATTGCTATGGTTTTAAATATTGCACTTTATTGTGTGTTTAAACTAACAGAAGTAAGTGTAACTGTTCACACAACTTTATTCCAAAATATTTACCTTCGTAAAATACATTCTGTAGCATATTTCAACCTTTTCAGTTTATCAGGTTTAGTCTTAAGAGTTAAAATGCAGCGACCTGCTACACAAAAAAATATATATACAGATTTATGATTGTTAACCGACACTACAAAGCCATTAGTCAATCTTATATACTGTTACATGTTTCGTGGTGAAAGAAACTGTATATAGTGTGTGACGATACTTTACTGACGATAAAGGTTAAAAAAATAAAATTTATAATCATAGTTTAGCTAAATCTAGATAAATCTTTACCTAAACACGACCTGACAAGTCTGAAACATGTGGAAGTTATTTTACGAAAATAATTATTTCCTATTAAAATTGTGTAATGGTTACTCTTTATTTTTATTATTGGCGCTGTACTTTCTTTTCAGATATTTTATTTCACGATAAAAAATTTATTTCAGAACATTAAAACACCTGATATTTTATCACATCACTGGCATCTGAGAACAAATCTCTTATATGTCGATGTTGGTGAAACGGGCTATAATGCTAAGTTAAATACCAACGTTTCGGATAGAGAACACTAAATCCATTTTCAGTGCTCTCAAATTTTATTTTAACCATATAGTTACTAACACATTACATTATTACAAACATTTATTCCTCTATACAGAATCTGAAGGTTTTAAGATAATATTTGCTATTAAAACATAGTTCAATACATTTCGCAATCTTGTGTTTTAGAGAACCATTAAATCCATTAATTCACATCGGAGTTATCACATTAAAAGAGTATACTAATAATATTACTCAGAAATCTCTTTTCACCCTCAATAAATTATCTCCTTTCGTAACATCTCTCTTTCCTTCTAATTACTACTTGTTACAAATCACCTAATTGCTATGACTGTATCTCGAATATTCTCCCAGATTTGTATGAAATGTCGCAGTTCAAATAAATAACATCTACGTTCCAACTTCCCAAGAACTTTCTCTTCACATATATAAATCCTAAAACAAAAGGTCTCATCTGTCATCGTGTTCAGCCTTTATACGTCGTGCGACGTTCTATTACCAAATAAAAGATGGACGGCCATAATACTGATACTGGTTGTGTGTAATTGTTTTAGAAAACTTCCCTTTGCTATTTTCATTTACCTTTAAAAATTTTCATTAGGTTTCAAGATTATTTTCAATCATGATTATAAAGTAGTTTTAAATTTAAAGGAACAGTTGCCAAAAGTCACTACATTTCAAGGGTATGTTTTCTTTTCGTATATGACAGAGTGTTTTTTATAACACAGCCGGGCGGGCTCGAGAAAAAAAATATTTTTCCCCTCCCCGGCGCGTTACAGAAGCAATAAATGTTCATCTAAAATTCTCGTAAACAAAACCACTAATCATGCCCAATGTCTGATTTTGTTGTAAGAGTTTCGTTTGCTTTGAAAACACTGTGTCTGCCATGAAAGTACACTTTGTTTTCATAAAAAACCAGCAAAATTGTTGCCCAAAAAATGTTTTACCGACTTCACCAACAACTATTCGCTCCATCAGTTTTACAAGGAACGTACTCGTACACTACCGGTTGCGTTATAATAAAACACTCTGTAGCACATTGTCAGTAAACAAAATGCAGAGATACTGAGGATGAAATATGGAATCTTCGTTACAGGCGTCACCATACTCCTTTCGTTAACAGTATTTCTCAACTTAGTCGCTGAAAAGATGCCCTCAACATCTGATGCTGTGCCATTGATAGGTAGGACTTGGTGTTTCCCAGGGGGCAGACATATTGATACTTGGAGTGGCCGGGAAGACATCACACTGTCGAACGATCGATCGATACCACCATCAGTTCAATTATAAATGCAGCTGAGGTTCTCAATTCGAAGTTATGATATCTGAAACCCCACTTGGACTTTTCCTACTCCTTTACAAATGTAGCAGTTCCTCCAGGATGTGTTAATGGCTGGAGGGATGGTCAGGATATATTGATGTTGCTTGTCTACAGATCACGTGACACCAAATTTATGTTGGACATTTTCCATTGTCCGAGGTATATTTCATACAGGCCTACACCAAATTTCAGGAGTTGACTCCACTCCTGTTGTCAGGTGATTGGCTGTTACTATATGGACATTTTTATTTACTTTATTTTCGATACTGGGGGTAAGGTTGAATCAAACGCAAAAGTCTCTAAATATATTTCACGATGGGAATAGAACACGAAACCTTCTTCCATCGCCAACGATTACAAAAACACGGTCGATAAAATTGTGTCGTTGTAATTACAGCGTGAAGTCGAAACCAGAGGCAACTTCCGAAACGTCGTGCACATAAAATATTCTCCAACCTCAGCCAATGGAAAGAAAGGTTATAATTAGACATACCTGTGTATGTAATTAATCAGGCATTGTTAGAGAGACCTTTGCAAAATTACATGTCGCAGAGTGTCGACTTGACGCTCAGTGTATCGAATCACCGCTACTTATTTTGTAGCAAATAAATTTACTGATCATCCTTCAAAAATCACCGCTGCTGTCGTGTGTGCTGTTGTGTATGCTGAAGTAAAGTGCATACTGTTGTAACGTCAGTAAGACGAGGGCTGGTTTTTCTGTGTTGGTCGATGTTAAACCTCCCCTAACTGATCCCTCTCACTCTCTTCCAATTTCTTTTTCTGTTTACTGTCTCCAGTTTTTGTGCACCAACGTACGTGTGAATGCAGCGCTTGGATGCGTGTCTTTTTCATGTAATTGGTAATAATTTCATGTAATGACATTATTAAAGTGGCTTAGATATAGTGGTTCTGTCATGGCACATGGCATGTTACTTGGATAGTGAGTACCTTCCAGGGCAAAGACATGGTTCTTTCTGCTGACAAGATGTGTGTTACGTGTACACATTTAGATTGCGTAACAAACTTTCAATCGTAAGAAGATTAATTTATGTACACACACTTCATCACACGGTGAACTTTAACCCTTTACAGCCGAATGGTAACTGTATTTACCACCTGCTTCAACAATCAATAACACTTAATTTTGAATTTTTATATTTTCATATGACTGATCTTAAAAAGGGATTATTTCCTTAAACAGCGTCAACCAGTTGTCATTTGTAATGGTGAAGTGGTGTGTTTTCTTCGCGGTATGGTCTGAAATCTTAAATATTATTTCGACTAGCCTCGGCTTCAATGGGTTAAAACACACCGATGAAGAAGTGGAATGGTTTCAGCATGTCCATGTGGAAAGGAACCAAGTCTACTTCCCTGTTTCCCCCTCTCTTTAGCAAACTTAGTGCCAAATTTATGTGATTTGTCTTGCCGCCACAACCATCACCGCCACAACTTAACCTAACCTTAACTAAGGACAATTAGAAAGAAATCCACACAAAGCCTCTACTTTTAAAGTCAAAAGCAGATAGCGAGAGATCTACTAACTGGTTATTCTGTTTCAGGAGTGACGATCTTGCTCTCGTTGACAGTCTTCCTGAACCTCGTCGCCGAGACCCTCCCCCAAGTCTCTGATGCCATCCCTCTGTTAGGTAGTGACGCAGTTTGGTGTGTGACTAACAGTGGTTTGCTTTGTGATACTTGGATTGTTGGAGGGGGATACCATAAACACATATTTATTTATTTATTTCAATTTGATGGCCTTTACACATTAGTCGATGTTTGTTATTTATTTGTTTCTTTTGAAAGAAAGTTATTATCTGTGTGCTGTGTTATTATTTTTGTACCCTTCTTTGGTTGTTTTGAAAGCGTTCAGTGTCATTTTGTTTGTTCCAGGTGTAACTATCTTGCTGTCTGTAACCGTATTGTCCCTCTTGGTGGCCCAAGTGTTACCCCAGACTTCTGATGCTGTACCCCTGATAGGTTAGACCGCGTTCCATTCTGCTGCTGGTGCTGTTGCTGCATGTTTTATACCGCTCATTAATTTCATTAAAAACGGTTATCAAAACCACAAATGAAACCACACGTTCTTAAAATTCATTCATTTATTTCACTGGAAAAAAAAGTATCCCTTATGTTTGTAAAAAAAATTATTTTAAAATAACAGAACTGAATGTTTATATAAATTGGACACGGTAAATTTTCGACACATTTCACGAAGCCTCTCAAAGAAATTTAATTATTTGTAACACATCTGTACCGTTTGTTGATTTTTTTTAAACTTTGAAGTATTTGAGATTCTCATGTGATGTGAAAATGTTAAAAGAAAAGAAAATTTTGTACACGAAGACTAACAGAGCGCAAAACCCTTGCTTTGACCGCAGGTCAAACTATTACAGCCCAGCGGTAAATATATGTACCACCTGCTTCAGTAATTACTAAATATTCATTTTTAATTGTGGGTCTGGCATGATTATTCTTATTGAAAGCGATTATTTTCTTAAACTATTAATACATTACCCAGTTTATTTTAGTAATGGTGAAGAGGTGTGTTTTCTTTGCGGTACGGATTTAATTTTTAAATATAATTTAGACGAGTTTCGGCTTTGAAAAGCTAATGGAACAAATGATTAACACTCCTATCATTGCGTTTGTTAACATTATACAGTATTACAGATTCATTGTTCTCTGTGGATCTGACAACTTTTGCAAAAAAGTTTTTTTTTCAAATTTCGCCTATGATTAAATTCGCACTGACTTTTAACGTGCGCGTCTGCAGCATCATATAGTATTTGACTCAAACGTCTGCTTTTTGTTCGTCCTGCATGTTGTGTTCCCCGAGTTAAACACCCTAAATTGCTTTAATTTCCCAAGCCAGCCCCGATGATAGATTTGCACGTATTTCCTTAAAGCCCCACCCTGTAAACACTAACCTCAATAATTCTAATAACTGAATGACTGATTGATTACCAACACCAATAATAATCCAGACACTAATTGGCTTCGATGGAGGACATAAGCAGTCCCGTAAGTGAATAAGGCAGGTTTGCATTGGAAACTTATCTCGTGTGACCTGATGCCCGTAACACTTCAAAGCATCGCAATTATTATTGATTAAGGGTTTTCACTAAAGGTAATCGACAGATATGTCATTCTTTGACTTCCCCGACGTGGCGGGTCTGGTATCAAAATCTACATCACGTTAATAAGTGCTTAAATAAAACCAAGTAAAACTACTATATACGACTTATCCGAATAACATGTTGTAACATTCAAATTATATAAAGAAAGTCTGAAATGTAGGATTTATATGAAGGGCTGTTACTTGGCCACTCAATAAATTCCTTACGTTGCTTCCGTAAAAAAACATGGCAGAATAACGTAAGGACAAAAGCTTGCACGAATAAATGGGCGGGTTTAATTTGAGGGTAATAATACTGCCTTGCTAGTCTTACATACCATGTCCTTAAGTGCATTTGTTTTAAAACTTGTGTATTAAAAATTAGGAAGTCCACTCTTATGGGCTTCCCCAACCAAAGACTAAATTACAGGAAAAATTGCCTCTAAATTAACGCACTCTATATTCGATATAAAAAGAGCTTAATTTTCCAATGTCAACTTTCCATAAACCTTGTCTTATATATATATATCTTCATTTGTGTTATTTTACCCCGTTTATGTGGTATATTCGTATACGTTAAGGATGCTTTTGAGATGGAAATTTGACTGCCTCTCAAAGTGTACTTCCTTTAATTTTACATGAATCTGAATGTCCTTTTTGCAGAACGGATGACGTGATCGGCAAAGCGTCTATCTTCACTGTTGCTTTCTGTATTCCCACATCGGTCTATACTACCACGCACCTGTATCAATATTTATTAGTTTCAGATTAGGGAACCTCTAAATCAGAACGTAAATTTTCGAAGCCGCCCTCCACCTCCAAGTATCAACTGAATCTGTCCCGTATGTTTAAAAAGAAGGCGTCTGTCCGTACGTTTTGTGTTCTATTTTTCATTATCACTGCTGTTTTATTGTTACTTCTTTTGATTCTTGATTCGTCTCCTCCTCTATTAACTTTCAATTTTAAAGGACTTCAATTTACTTATTAATACGAAATTAATTCCTTAATTCAAATTGTTTTATCAAGCGCCACTAAACTCATAACACATTTACCTTAAAAGAGGATGAACAAAACAATTTGTTCCTAAAATGTATTTTGTCGTGCATTTAGTGCCAAGTTCATGCAAGGAGAGGCACCCCATCTAACGACAGACCTAATAAACATCCATCTCAATAAATCCCGGAATGGCTTTGGAGTTTGGTAAGAGCTTGAAGGTAAACTGAAGTATAAAGTGAATTAATCCAACAAATCACACAGCGCAAAAGTCTTTTTTTTCTATTTTACAAAGTATATAAAATAACGCAAATACTTCTCCTTGCAGATTTTTTTTAATTTTTCCCAATTGGAATGATTACTGCATCTACTGTATGCATATTTCATTTGAATCAAGTTTATTTTGGGCCTGTAAGCCAGCTGTAGCATAGTTAATCATAAGACAGTGTTCTGCATACCTCATTATTTCTGTTTTCGTCCACAATAAGTTTCTTTAACGTAACAGATTATAACACATAGCATGGTTCTACCGTCCTTTAGCAACGTGACGTAAAGAGAAGTCTAAAAACTTATTAATACTTAAAGTAAATTAATTAAACTGGTTTCTGTGGTTACTTTGTGAACTTAAAAGCAAGGCAACATGAAATTATTTCCAACAAAATAATTTCCTACAAAAATTAAAATTATATTTTCCTAATTCATCAAAGGCACTTAAAAGACGGCGTATCGAACTTAAAAACTATTGGAAATCAATATTTAGACTTACCCCCGCAAACTCACAACTAAATACGTTGAGGAGGCTACGACATTATTCGGTTGTCCTAGATATTTGTGACAGTTTATTTTTGATGTTTGCCTGAGTAATATATATATATACATATATATATATAATCATGTGATGCAAATATTTGTGTGTAATATGAAACAAAACTTAATATATTAAGTTAATTTCAAATATCCAAAACATAAAATTAATGAGCAATAGTTTGGTGTTCATTAAAGCGGTAGTCATTCAGGTATTTGATGGAGCTTAACGGGTGGCTTGCTGCTAAATTGCAGGGACGTACTTCAACTGCATCATGTTCATGGTCGCCTCTTCTGTTGTCCTGACTGTAGTGGTTCTCAACTACCACCATAGAACCGCAGACATTCACGAAATGCCACAATGGGTAAGTTCCAATTTTCTTCTGTGTTAAGATGGCTGTCTGGGTTACTGCGTCATGCAGCGTGGTAGAAGTTTACCGTGACTCATTGCCCTGATGACGGAGGCATCAAGCACCTCTGAAACGTCGGTAAACTTGTATCAGACTACACGGCGCAACAACCCTGAAGACCACAATCATCATACCTGCCACCGTGAGAATCTGATATACAACTTTCAAATGTGTCAATTTCTCTTATCACACACACGCAAATTACAAATAAATTTATTTACTTCTCATCACCGTCATTTCAGTCCTGAATACAGAAACAGAACTTTTCTCCAAAACACTGGCGTCTGTCTACTTACGAGTCTACACGGAGTGTCAACCCAAAACAGGACCGTCAACTTCATCTTCGTAAAAATTCAAAACTCACCAACCCTAAACAGGACCGTCATCTTCATCTTCGTAAAAATTCAAAACTCACATGTCCTTTCCTTTGCAGATCAAAAGCGTGTTCTTGCAGTGGTTACCATGGATGCTCGGTATGAGTCGTCCCGGTAAGAAGATAACGCGGAAGAGTATCCTCATGAGTAACCGAATGAAAGAAATGGAACTCAAAGAACGGTCCTCTAAAAGCCTCATTGCTAACGTACTGGACATCGACGACGATATCCGGCACTGCTCGGGAATCAACAGCACTTCGGCATCGGCCGGATTCATCCGAAGTGGCGGCCGCGGTACGATGACGACCTTGGACGATACCAGCGGTTCGACCTTCTCTGCAGCTCAGCGTGAGTTGCAATCTATACTTAAGGAGCTTCAGTTCATCACGGCAAGAATGAGAAAAGCGGACGATGAGGCTGAACTCATCAGTGACTGGAAATTCGCTGCTATGGTGGTGGACAGGTTCTGCCTCATTATCTTTACCATGTTTACCATTATCGCTACAGTGGCCGTTCTCTTATCTGCGCCTCACATTATAGTGCAGTAACGCCGTTCGTCCACCCAGTTGTTCCCAGACACGGTGTGTTAACATCACAACTTCTTTATAAGGATCTTGTAGTCACTCTGTTTAACAGTTACACAGATTCGAAAAAGGGTGGAAAACAAAAACACTCCGAAACTGAATCAGTCATTTTCTCTCTATTATCTCACAAATACTTAAATTTTCTTAACCTTTCATCAACTTGCTTTTCTATTGGACTCCACCGGAAGGTAGTTTTGCTCAGCGACGTCATGTTTTCGCCTCTAATTACGAGAATGTTACGGTGCTAAATTTCATTAGCGCATTTGAGGTCAAAACAATGATCTTCATATCATGTTATTAATTTTAAGATAAGTATGTAAGTAATGTGGTTTACCTAACTGAAGAAACTTAATGCACTAACTTGTTTACACTTGGGGCCAAATTATAATGTTGGAGACAAATTCTACGCACGGCCGAGTTACCTATGCAAGCAGAAAAGAAAAAAAATGTTTTCTTGCTAACTTTCAAGTGTAGAGTAAGATTGTTGCAAAAGAAAAAGTTATACTACATACGAATGTGTGTCTCCCGAAACACAGTTATTCCACAAACATTTGTGATATCTCCGCGTCATTTCGTTTTCATTATTTCTGATTTACCAACAGAGGCAAACGAAATCAAAGCAACAGAGAATCAAGTTTTATTTTAGTGCAGAATTACCGGGATATGAAATAATGTACAAAAGGAATTGAATTCCATTTTGTGTACGTTTATATAAAAAATACTGTAGACAAACATTAGTTTGTTTTGTTTAAAAGAGGCAGTGCCGTGAACTAACGCATCAGTGATAATACTTTTTGCATTGTACATATTCATCAACCGATTCGCAACGAAAAATTAACAAAATGTTTACGGAGAACAACAGAATGTTTGCTGCTATGGGGGAATTGTCCTAGGATTGCGCACAATTTGTTTTCGACATGATATGTTTAATAACTTGTTGGATTAATAACAACAGCATGATTAATAAGAAATTGTTAAACGACATAAGAACCACTGAAATAAACCTTTTTAATTACAGAATTATTAAATCGATTCTATTTGACAGCAAACGCCCAACAATACAGTGCAGATCTAACTAAAAGTTTATTTTTCGTTGCGAAACGGACATTTTAAAACATATTCGAGAAGAATTAGTTCAGATTTTAAAACATATAACACAATTAAAACATGCTCAATTAATATTGTTATCAAAGTGCATCTATGAAATAATTACGGTGATTATGTTTGAACCCATGAGCATGGACAGAAATTTGGAAGTGTGCATGAATTAACTGAACAATCACTTCACAATATTGTTCGTCTATATTATGGTTATTTCTAAAAAAAAAAAGGAAAGAAAGTTAAAAGCATCATTTATCAAGAACAATTTTTATATGTGTTTATGAAGCCAAATAAATCCCTCTTTTTGGGATATAGATGCATGGCTGTAGGTTTACATTTAAACGAAATCTAGAGAGAAGAAGAAGAAATATAGACAGTCAACAAACACAAAGCGCTATTGTTATGCTAGAAGTGAAACGACAGTTTTAATAATGTTGGTTATGTAACTTGTATCGCTCATGTTTTATTTATATATATAATATGAGTTTAGGTTTATTTACGTTAAAGACTGTACTGTTACCGACATCATCTGGCATTAATCATTGCACACAAAAATACTCTCCCATATTCCGCTACTGCAGTTTGGTTTAGATTGGCAACACTGCAGTATTTTCCCAAAACAATTAAGCCTAAATAAGTATCGTAAATAACATAACATAAAATACTCTTATCAATAGCATAAGAAAAAATTATGAAACCGATTAATATCCAACGCTTAAAAGACCGGCGTAATATACGAGAAATTGTTGGAATAATATCAAAGGACACCTTCTCACAGAGACAGCCTAATTACAGAGAAATTTTATGCACGTGATGCTGACAAGTCCAACGTATATCATAACTACATTCTCTCAGACGGAGATTCTGTCAAACTTCAGAAGAGAACCAAAATTCTGATGACCACAGAACGTAAACTTGAACTCTACCCATTCTCGTTCTGACAGCTACGTAAAAATATATTAAATTCCTTACTCGGAATGTAAGCTCTACATATTTTATAACGGATAATACATCAGCTAAGATCATTGGGGTAATGTGTCCGTTTTGATATTATAAGTTGGGTATAAAAATAGCTTTCAAAATTAATACTATAATACCAAGACTGGACACATGTTGGTTTGATATAGCTTCTACACTGAGCGCTTATTTTGATATTAGAACATGCCACACAGTCTATCTACTCTTCAACTGCAAACAGTTGAGCGTATTTGCTGAAATCTAAGGAAATCAAAGTAAATTCAATGAATTTTTATTTTCAAGTAAAGATGGCAGTAAATTCACAAATACAAAACACCAGATAATAAAGAATATAAGCAGTGCTGCTTAAGATTTGTCTGTTAAAAAATTACAATTGTTTACATGTGTCACCGATTCTTTGAAATAGTCTAATTTCTGCTTCATGCCTCTGTAAAACCCTTTTCAGTTCACAGGATGATAGCTATAGAAAAACTTTATGTTCACGTTAAATTAGTCATTGTTTATACATAAGATTTTTAATTGTTCAATGTTTCCTACTGCATTCTCCAGATTGGTAAACAATGTCCCTACATTTGCGACAAAATCTTCCAGAACTGAAACGAACAAGATGATGATTCGGTAACGTACAGTCATATCAATAAATAAATTAATATATCTCATCCAGTTCAGCTCAAATGAAAGAAGTAGAGTTCTGTTGTCTCTAAAATGGGAATCGTCGATTCGAATCCCAGTTTCGTAATTGTAATCTGAATAATTTCAAAACTTCACCTCATTCACTCTAATCAAATGATGAGATAATGGAATAAAAAGCCGTGACTATTATTTCGTTATTACATACTAACTCTGCGGTAAACCGCTTTCGAAATTAATATCCCTTACACTAAATCTAACCTCGGTCAAACACTGAGATCTCAGGTTCGAATCTCTCGCGAGGAATCGTTGCTTTAGCTGTCCTGTTTAGTTACCGTCATTTCAAGAGAACCACAAACACATAAAATTTAAATATATATATATATATATATCGTCTAAGAGTCAAAGGCTGGATCGCGGGTTCTAATCGCTCAAAAGACATTGTTATTTTTGTGTTCGTCTTTCATTATTGCCTGCCATAATTCTGATTGACACCAAGTTTAGGTATTCTGTGGTGGTACAAAGAGGGATGTGGGAAAAACAATGGTTCGCGGAATTTAAAGTATCTAAAGTTCATTTATAAATTAATAACAATTCAATCACAAAATTACTTTTAATAAATATACTTTACTCTATATTATTAATGTTTCTAACCGTCGGCCAAATATAGCAGTAATCTATAACAGTAATTTTCAAGTGTTATGCTGCATGTCAATATTAACGTATGTATGATTTAATATCAGTAAAATAAGGGTAAATCAATTTAAAATCAACTGTGTAAGAACTGTACAGATCAGAAATCAATTTCGCAATTTGCATCATTGCTGGTACCTTCGCAACAATACTTTTTCAACAAACTTTACCGAAAACATGCTTTCTTCTGTAAAATACATTGTTGGTTATGTCACTGAACATACAACTTTATTTTAAATACAGCAACGATTTCTTAATTTAAAAAGCCCTTGAAGTCAGAGTAAACAAATGATGAATGTGAATTAATAACAAATGACGGTACTAGTCGCGGCTATTCCAAAATTACATCATTGTTAACTGGGAAATATTTCCACGTCGAAACTGAAGATTGATTACACTCAAAATGCTGACAACACACACTGTTACGAAGAATATGTAAATAGGGGGTTTAATACATTCGTAATTATGAAATATCAGGATATTATTCTTAAATATGCTAATCAGATATGGTAGTCGAAATATTTTGTTCCATAACGGCATATTATTAACAATTCGCTGCAGTTAAAAGATTGGTGTTAAGTACAATGTCAGCAGAAAACTGAAACAAATAGCATTTATGCTGGGAAACAGAATAGAATCAGAACAATGACTAAAACATAACAAATGTTTCAAGGTTTGTTCCAATTACGCACAAATATTTTCTACTTGCATTCTTCCCTATTTTGAAACCTGCTCAGAGGTGACTTAAATTGTTTGCAGATAAAAATCGATTACTGTAAAGCTATACTGCATTAAAACAGAAAATATTCTCCCTTGCATTTTTCAAATATTCATCGCGTTAAAAATGGTTCAGATAGACTTTAATTAAATATATATGTTATTGTATTCATTAGTTCGAGTATGAACACTCAGTTTCGTTTTTTAGAAAAGTATATATTTCAATTTGTGTATCATTTAAAGTTAGTTAATTACACTGGACAGTCATAAACTAAAATTACACTGGCTTCAAAAATGTTAGCGTACACACACATCAAAAATATTTTAAAATATTTCAGCAACTTTATTCATGAAACATGGGGACGGACAGCCCGGCCTCCCTTTTAAGCGTTCATTTGATTAGTTTCGTGCATAAAATTGTTTAAACATTTTTGTGACTACACGACTCCAAAATTTATTATAAAAATTCTTGCGTTTTATTTTAGCCAGCCTTAAGAAATCGCCTTGACGAGAATTTCGGTATTTATTAATTCCATTGACAGAACCTAAGATAATTTTTACAAGTTTCCATTATTATTATTACTATTATTACCAGATCCTTCAATTCGTAATCTCAGCGTCAGAAGAAAAAATATTCAGATCAGGTTATAACGTTGTATTTTATTTATTTATGATTTATTTAATGACTCTGTGAGTGGCTCAGACTATATAGCTTCGAATTTTGTTATAATTAACGAATAATGAATTGGAAAGGATATGAAAGGAAGCGATCGAGACCTAATTTAAGTACTGTAATAGCATTTGCCTGGAGTAACTGAGAAAAATGACGAAAACTCCTCAATTCGGGCCTATATTTGGTACTGGAGCCCGCAGAATAAGAAGCAGTTGTGATAACCAATCGGTTGAGACGATTGCAACATTGGTTATGATGAGATTTGTTTGTAAGAACTGATATAATCACATTCCAAATGTTTACACGAATTATAAATTAACTTCATCATGACAATAAATCTGCACGTTAAGCTATGATCTCGTTGTGAAAACCAGTTCGCATCTACGTGTTATCTTTAATATTGCCAATCAGGACAAAAGTATTATTTTCCAATTCACTGCTTCACACGCATTTATTCATCTGAGATATCAGGAATTGCCACAGTCCTTGCTTGATTTGGTCTGCTTTCTGTTTCCCGGTTACTCTGCCTTCATCCTGGCATAACTTTGATGCAGTGGTTCCCAACACGGGGCAGAGACCCAAACAAGGCTTTCCTGAGTCTTCAGTTCGGTGACAAAAGTTCATCAGAACATTTGTCTTCCAATTTAACGCTACAGAGTGCACAACTGATTATGCCTGAAAATCGAAAATTCATATTTGTGGGAAAGTTTGGGTCGAAAAACCAAAATTGGAAATCACTGAATTAATATATATTTTTTTCTTTCTGCTAAGAGGTAACAGAACCCCCAAAAAGGAATCTGAAAGTTGTTTTATTTTCTAGATGCAACTAGAACATCAGCATTTTAAAAGAAACTTCTATAAATTTTAAAAAAAATATTACTTTATGTGAAGAATTAAGATTTCTAGCCCATGTTTAATTTTATTTATTTACGAAATGGCAGTAGGTTTTAGGCCTAGTTTCCGCATGTAATAAATATACTCTAATTCAAAAACGTGATATAACACGCGTAAGGAAGGCAAAATACTGCAAGATCCATGAATATGTTACTTCAGGAAATATGATTATGAATAAATGCTGTTTTGAAAGATAGATTATATAAATTTATCTTCATGCTTGTTATGTTTATGAAAATGGTTTTCCTGTATAAATGTAGGGTACCAATGTGAGAAATATATATGAAAATGTCAATACTAATTTTATTTAGGTGTGTGTACGAGATAACCTGTAAACAAACAGTGCTCATGTTAAAATAAAATTATTTCTTTAAAATAACAAATGAGAAATACATAAACTAAAGAAGGTTTTTAAAATATCGTCAAATGTATATTTTTAAACTGATACAAGTAAATGAACCTTAAAATAAAAATTATTACATCCGTTATTAACAGTGATTTTCATTACATTTTGAAAATCAGCTTCCTCTAAATAAATTTCTGATATCTGAGTATCAAATTATCCTTTTCTGCTCTCCCTGTCTTCAATATAGAAATCCACAACTTCTCCCCATAAACCCACATTGTGTGTGTTTGCAAGAGTTGCGTTAATACTATACTGCACATGTAAATTACAACCTTATGTTTAAATTTCCAACATATGGTACCGTTTTTTTATTTTAAAAAAAATTGTATGGTAAAAAATATAGTCTCGCCCATAAGTCTAGTGCCACAGGCGACAATGTTATTTGGCAGAAAATGTAAAAAAAAATGTTGCAAATTACGTTTTCCCAATCTAAACTCTTGGAATCATTTACCTAGAACAAGCCATGACATCCTTAAACTTCACATTATCAACAGTACAAACTTATGGAGATTTTGCCACGTGTACAATATTTCCCTCGTTTCGTTCAATATTCGTGTCTCCTCTACTATCGCTTGATGGAACATTTCAAAATGGGAAGACGCACAATTTACAACAACTTTTCACATTTCCCAGTATTTTCCCACATAACAGAATTTTCCTGCGATTTTGGAATTATGGGGCGGTGTGTACAAATGTTCTTATCGTACACTAAATATCAACACAATAAATGTACAGAAATCAAGTTAAAGTTAGCTAAACCACGTAAAAAAAATTAAAAATCTGCTGCATTCAACTTCTAGACTGTGTCTTTGGATTGCAAAGCTCCGGAATTTAAAATCCAAAGCAAATCAATACATCCACCCAAAGACACTATGTTTATTTATGACTCTACGAAAGAAATCAATGAACAATCAGGATATATGACTGTATTCATGTAACATTTCTTCGAATAAATATATTTTAAAGCAAACACATGATAAACTTACAAAGACAATTAAAATGAACCATAAGAAAATACCACTACGTTAAACGGT